TGAAGGAATTTGGCTTGAAATCTGTGTTAACGTTATCAGAATTATCCAAAACCGTCCATTCTGAATATTTCAGTATTAAAGTAGTACACACACACACACACACACACACACACACACACACACACACACACACACACACACACACACACACACACACACACACACACACACACACACACACACACACACACACACACACACACACACACACACACACACACACACACACACACTCACACACACACACACTGACGCACATCATGGATTAAGTGTATCAGCAAACAGGTCGAGAGCACAAGGCTCCGGGTGATAAATGATTTGATGTGTTTACTGTCTCTCAGGTGTGTCAGGCAGGTGAGTTAATCCCTCCTCAGTCGTAACTCGGTCTCCCTCTCTTACCTGCAGCCAGCTGCTGCAGGTGAAACCCCGCAGGTGGAAGTCAAACTTCACGAGGCAGGAAGAGCCCTGAAGCCTGCCGCCATGAGGAGAAGTTTCTAAGTTTATTTAGAGAGCTGTTTGGGTCACATCGCTGTCTGGTCACACACTCGAGGAACTAAAACACCTTCATTATCTGTCGTCATGTGTGAAATCTGCTCAGATTTCACACATCTATAATGTGCTCTTCAGAACTCGGGATAATGTGCAGAGATTTCTATATTCAAACTATTGAGTCTCCTGTTAAAAATGTGCAGCCTCCTTGTGGTCCTTTAGGACGACCTGTTGCAGGGGGGGGTCTCTCTCTCCATCATCTCGTGTGGAAGCAGCTCGGTGTTGTGTCCCATCTGCTGCTCTATCTAAACATTATTTCCTCTTCGAGTCGTTCTCTTGTATCTCTGCTGCTGCTGAGTGTGTCTGCTGTAAATCTAGCCGCCTCATTAGCACTGACAGAGGGATGCTAGCAGCCCACCTGCTTCTCCTCACCCTCTTTATGGCTCTACAAATTAAAACGACATTTACACACACTATCCCCCCCCCCCCTCGCTCGCTCACTGCTCACCTTCCTCTCTCACTGCTCAGCGGCATCAGGCCTCCATTCCTCTATTCTTCATTCCACTGACTCCATGTTTCCTTTTGTCTCGGTCACTGTTTTTTATTCTACATTTGTGACCATCATGTGACCCCTCCCCTCTCTGTCATTACTCATCTTTAACCAGAGTTCAGTCGGTCCGTGCTGATGGCACTCTAACCTCAGACAATGACAGCGTGATGGACGGATGTCGCTGCATGTTTGTTCGCCCGCTACAGGTCAGTCAGGGTCGCGCCGGTAATGAGGCCATAAAAATGCAGGTGACAAAAGTTGTGTGGAGACGAGATAAGGTGAAGAAGAGGGAGCAAGGAGGAAGAGGCCGAATGGTTCAACGCGCTGAGACGTCTTCTTAACGTCTGTCACCAGGTCAGGAATGTTTCAGTCCAGACGATTAAAGACAAGCAGGAGGAGGTTATCTATGTCTGTCCAAAGGGGCGTTAATCCCCTGGTTTATACAAAAAGGTGGACTCTGAGACGTCTCCATAGCGTGCAGCCGCAGTTTCCTGCCTGCCAGGAGGGCACTGTGAGTGACGTCACGTGAAAACCATGAATATATGATTTATGAATCAGAGGGACAATAACTGTCTCCATTCATTTATAAAAAAAAATAAGAATAACACTTATTGCAAATACCATTAACCTTCATATATAGGCCCCTCCCAGTTAAAGACCTTCAAATATAGGCCCCTCCCAGTTTAAGGTCTTAAAATGAAAGCCCCTCCTAGTTTAAGACCTTCAGATATAAGCCCCTCCCACTTTAAGGCCTTCAGATATAAGCCCCTCCCAGTTTAAGGCCTTCAGAAATAAGCCCCTCCCAGTTAATGTCCAGTCCTTCTACCAGCCTGCAGCTGCATGTTTGGACATATGAAGGCAGCTCGCTGTTAGAGGCCGTTGTGCTTTTAGTTAGTGGATCACAACTATAGAGAAAAAGCAGAAAGACATAAAACAGTGAAGACAGACTTGACGATCTGTCCCAGATGACAGAAGGATGAGGAAACAGCTGTGCAGCCGGTCGGGGTGCTGTCTTTAAAAAGCTTAATCCTATGAGTGATTTGTTTGATATCCAAACTTTAAGATTCTTTCTGATGACAAGACTTTTCCATATTTGCTGAGCATTTTGATCTTTAAGGTTCAGAAGGAAAATATTCAAAGTCTTGTTAGGACGCCTATAGGCTCATTTCATCGACAATGGAAGCCCGGGCTATGAACTGGTTTACGATGACTCAGTTAGCACGTGACCACCAGGAGAAACTAATCCATTCACAAACATTCATACACACCGCTGACAAAGCACAAGAAGCAACTTGGGGTTAAGTGTCTTGCCAAAGGACACATGGACATGTGGCTGCAGGAGCTGGGGATCGAACTCTCTACCTTCCTGTTGAGAGACGACCGACTTTACCACTGCCCCACAGCTGCCCCAAATGAACCCAACGCTAACGTAGAACTCATGAGGGCGAAACGACCCGTCCAGTTCTGAGAAACATTGATCTGGATTGAGAAGGCAGAGAAGTTGTTTTTTAAATGTGATGACTTTATATCAGAGTGGGTGTTTGTCTTAAAAACAGCTGACAGCTCTCACAGACATCCACTGAGTGAAGTTATAGAAGCAACAACCTGTGAGAGACGGAGGGTCAAACACACCTCCAGCTAATGTCTTTCTGCAGGCCAACACTGAAGCCGCTTGTTAAGCAACCCCCCCGCCCGCCCAACACACACACACCAGAACCCCCCCGTCCCCTGGCTGGGTGGTCCAAACAGTCCTTTCTCTGTTTATTTGCCTGACTTTATGGATCGAGGAGAGAAAAAGGCAGCAGCTTTGAAGATTTGGTGAAGACTCAGAAAGGAGTATGTGCTCAATACCAACACAACAGATACGTGTGTGTGTGTGTTTGTATTTGAGCCCCTGTTTGAAGTCCTCCTCTCCACTCTGGCAATTACTTCTATGAAGGATTAGATGAAGAGAGGGCAAAGAGGAGAGAGGAGAAGGAGGTGGCAGATTGAGAGAGAGAGAGAGGATGGCAGGAGAAAACAGATTGAGGTCTTCTCTGCTCAGAGTGTTTTTCTCTCCTCTAAAGGCTTCTCTGCAAACACTCTCTAAACATGAGCCCAGGACCACGACGACTCCTCAAATCGTTCAGGATCACAAGTGCACCAAAATGAAGCTATTTCCAGGACAGCAGAGACAGAAAGCACTCGGAGGGTTGGGAAGAGGCCACATGCAGCCTGTGCTGTGAAAGCAGTCCAAACATTCAGGTGAGCGCAGGTGTTCTTAATTCTCTTTCCTCGAGGATAGAAACAAACACACGCTTTCCTGGAGGAAACACTTGTTTGGTTGGATGTCTGTAAAGCAGCAGAATATAAACTATGTGGTGTGACATCTGAACATGATGTAAAGTACAGATAATGATCAGATGGGGCTGTGAGAAGAATTCTTCAGCGACCTGATGCTGCAGTGCAGGTGGAAGGTGTGCTGCTGCACATTTCAGATTCTTTCCAAACTTTTTGAATTATTTATCTCGTTGCTTGAAGGGAGGAAACTCTGAGGCCTTGCTCGAGGCCTCAGAAAAGGGAATTCTTTTGAATTTACTAAGTTTTTTACTTTAAGTTACCGGCCGCAGCTCTGCAGACGGTGTCAGAGTTTCCTCTGAGTAAGAAGGTTAAATATGGAAATGTAGTTCTTTTTAAAGCATTGGTTCTTATCAGATCTATTTCCTTTTCTTCTCCCCTAACCTTGAGTCTGTAGAGAAAAAAGTTCATCTCTACCTCCGGTTTTACTTCCTGCTCCGTCAGGTTAATGGTTTTAACGACTTCCTGTCGCTCTTACCTCGGGGATGTGGACGGTATACGGCTGTCCATGAAAGATAGGTGCGTTGTCGTTCACGTCTCCAATCTGGATGTTCACCGTGTCTTTGACCACCTGAGGACGAGAACATCTGTGTCAAACTGTCCTGAACACGTTACCTGCTGAACACAACTGAACACACCTGAACACATTACCTGCTAAACACACCTGAACATTAAACACACCTGAACATTGAACACACCTGAAAATGTTACTTGCTGAACACGCCTGAACATGTTACCTGCTGAACACACCTGAACATGTTACCTGCTGAACACACCTGAACATGTTACCTGCTGAACACACCTGAACATATTACCTGCTAAGCACACCTGAACACGATACCTACTGAACACACCTGAACATGTTACCTGCTGAACACACCTGAACATGTTACCTGCTGAACACAACTGAACATGTTACCTACTGAACACAACTGAATATGTTACCTGCTATACACACCTGAACATGTTACCTGCTAACACACCTGAACATGTTACCTGCTAACACACCTTAACATGTTACCTGCTGAAAACAACTGAACATGTTACCTGCTGAACACACCTGAACATGTTACCTGCTGAACACACCTGAACATGTTACCTGCTGAACACAACTGAACATGTTACCTACTGAACACAACTGAACATGTTACCTGCTAAACACACCTGAACAAGTTACCTGCTAAACACACCTTAACATGTTACCTGCTGAACACAACTGAACATGTTACCTGCTAAACACACCTGAACATGTTACCTGCTGAACACACCTGAACATGTTACCTGCTGAACACAACTGAACACGATACCTACTGAACACAACTGAACATGTTACCTGCTAAACACACCTGAACAAGTTACCTGCTAAACACACCTTAACATGTTACCTGCTGAACACAACTGAACATGTTACCTGCTGAACACACCTGAACACGTTACCTGCTGAACACACCTGAACACGTTACCTGCTGAACACAACTAAACACATTACCTGCTGAACACACCTGAACACGTTACCTGCTAAACACACCTGAACATGATACCTACTGAACACAACTGAAAATGTTACTTGCTGAACACACCTGAATAGGTTACCTGCTGAACAAACCTGAACACATTACCTGCT